ATCAAAGTTACATTGTATGGCCATATGTAAAAGCAACCGCACTGAACCCACGGCAGGCCTGTTTCTGAAAAGAAACCTCACCATTTGACGTATGGGGTGGGATATCCCTCCACCGAGCAGAAAAGTTTAATGGCACTGTTTTCATACACTGTGTGGGACCTCAGTCTAACCAAAAACTTGGGGCCCCTGATCATGGACTCCTCACGGATGTATTTTTCAGGCATCTTCCTATCCACCTATTGGAAAGAGACAAACAATTCAATGGCCGGTTGGATCATCAAAAGTCTATGTGTGACAAAATATATGTCCTAAGAAAGAGTGAGTTTTATTTAACCTCTGATTTACACGGCCCACTACAGCTAACAGCAAATGTCTTTAACACACATTATTGACGTATTATAACAACAGCATGTCAAAAAAAAAAAAAAATGAAATGATTATTTAAAGGGCTTTACCACTCCCTGGATTTTCTTCTGTGTTTGGTATTGATATTTCACCTCTTCAGCCGCAGAGCTAAAAACACACGTTTTCGTATTTTAAAATGTTAACGGTACAAACAGCATGAAAGAAACAGAAGATTCATCAGATAATACATTATATCACTGTGGGTCAGTAATAATTCATGTCATAGGTTAATCAGTTTACCGATTTCCATATGCATTCAAACATACATATTCCATGCATTTCAACCAAGACCTTTTAGGGCAGTCTACAGTGGAAAGAAACAAATAACAAAAGAAACTATAAGAATGCTTTAAAAAAAAAAAAAAAAAAAGTTTCCGAATTTTATTACATCTGATTAAATACAAAATTTGACGTTTATTATTTTGACCCATGGTTTACACAATGATTTTGAAACTGAATACTGACCTTTTGACCCCCCTCAGAGGGGGTCAAAAGGGGCAAACAAGCCATCGTCTTAATTCACAATTCTCTATAACATAACATTTGCTTTAAAACAGCATCTGCTTTTGTCCTGATATATTAAAATATAACTAATTTTGAAATCTAATATGACTAGATTTTTTTTCTTATCCTAAAACATCAGATTTTAACGACAAAATGGAAAGCTTGTCAAACTTAAAACACGTCTATAAAATGTAGCTCATATTGAAGAAAGTTTCATTTTTTAGTTAATATTAAATGGTCCTGCAGAGTGACAAATGTACTGTAGTCTCTCTCTCACCAATATGAGGTCATATAAGCTCCACACATAATTCGAAAAGAGTTTTACATGGAGTATAGCATGTCACACTGCAGGCCATCATGTCAACTACCCGAAAGTGTTTCATGTCAACAACCCAGAGGAAATTAAATTAGTGACATGACGGTATCAGTTATAGCTCAGCTACTGTGTTGGTAATATGGTTTATTAGAAAAGCTTCAACAGATAATGTTATTCTATGTTATAAATGATGTTACTATTTTATTACTATTAGCTTTAGTATTGCTGTGAGCGTCATGATTAGCTGTGACTTGCAAACAATTCCATAGCCTGTTGCATCATTAAAAGTCTAAGCGTGACAAAATGTCCTAAGAAAGAGTCAGCTGATGTAATTTTTCACCTTACCTGGAGTATTCTTTAACAACATATTTAGACTCAGTATTGAGGTATTCTCGACTGAAATGCTTGTGTCTGGTTACAACCTCAGCCATATTGCAACATCAAAGGACCTAAGAATCAAAACGGGAACAAAACATGCACCATCTTTGCACACAAGACAAAACAAAATGCATTGATATATGCACAAATTCCTATCCTCAATTTCCGATTTCAGTGTTTAAAGTTATTTGGGTCACGGTGTTACAGTAAACATAAATTGTGGCACACTCCTGATTAGACTTAGGTGTTAGGAAAGTGGAACTGTTTGTGGAGATGATGAGGAGGGGGTGTTGTGGAGCTTTGGGCCACAGGGAAGACATCATGACAGTTTAAAATTAGAGTTTGGGGGTTGGGATATCAGACAGTCCAAGGAGATGGGTATACAGTATTCCACGGTAATTTCTACTGTATAGCGTATGCTGTTGCATACATGTACTGTAATATGGAAAGATAACCACTCCTCATAAACGTTATCCTCTAACAAGGACAAATAATCCACACTGCAAGACAATCTCAACAAGAAAACAATTCCAAAAAGAACGAGAACACATTCCTTAGATTTCTTTAGAAAAATAATTTAACAAATAAACAGACAATCATGCTTATTCAAATGCAGCATTACGTCCTCACATTCACATGAACCCCACGTACAATAGCATCTACTGTGCATTTCAAACATTAAAACAAGTTTTCAATAACATAGTTAGCCTATTTGGCATTTAAAAATTAATGGATCACAATGCATCTGCAATCATTCATTATTAGTAGCCTATTCTAAAGGTCATTTCAACCAACACACTGTTTAAAAAATAATAATAATAATAATCTCAAAGTTTGTCCAGCTATTAATTCACTCATATTCACAAAGCACTGGAAATGTTTTAACTGACAACTTTTATGAATCCTTTCAAAGTCAAGTGCAGCTCCCACTCAAGCAACATCATGAGATCAATATCCAACCAAGGTAAAGTTCAAAAGTCTTCTCCAGCCTCAACGTTTCTTTCTACAAGGACAACTCTGCTTTATAATTTAATAAGTGTGTAAAGAAGGGGTCCAGACATACTCACCCCAGGAGAATACAAGAGCGCGACGCGGAGGTAGATGAGCCTCTACCCGCCTGTATGAAAGCAGCTGATGAAAAGCACAATATTACCCATGCGGAATGCTGCCTCTCCCGCATCCCATTTATGGAAAGGCATTAGACTATATATAGCATTTACACAAACTTCCCACATCATTTCGCTCAGATATACCAGACAGACGTTTTAAATTGACGCTGCATGGCGTTTTTTTAAAAAACAAGAGTTTAGGTAAAGGTGAGTCGAACTGAAATCATAATAACATATTAAAGTAGACACATTAAATGCTCTGAATTAGCACAATTACTTAAAAAAAACGAAATGCAGTCGAAACCATCACTTTATAGCTTCTTAATATATGTGTTTCTTTATTGCTCAACAACAATTTTGTCTGTATGATGATACATAGGCGACTAGCGGCATCAAACGGTATTACACAAATAGGCCTAACTTTTTAATATTAATGGGAGGGATATCAATGCATGTGTGTGTAAGTGTTGCAAGAGAGATTCCTGGCTCAGGGCATGAGAAAAAATCTTTGAGAACATAGCATATATATATATATATATATATATATATATATATATATATATATATATATACTGTATATGCCAAATTGTATCTTAATTGTAAATTATTGTTGACTTAATTTGTAAGTTAATCAAAAAGGGGGAATTCAGATTTTTTGGCAAAATACCCCCAGGTGAATAGGGTAAACATTTAAAATAATAATAATAACTAATAGATATCTCCATACTTCCCCCAGTTGATTGATTAGATTCAGATTCAGATTCATTTATTGTCATTGACAAAATACAAGTACAAAGCCAACGAAACATAATTAGCATCTGACCAGAAGTGCAAACAATAGTAATAATTTAAAAGAAAACATAAAAAAGCTATAGTTGCAATATATAAATATAAATAAATAAGTACAGTTGCAGGCCCGGCTCAATGTAATGTCTCAGAAATTGGAGGTAGTGTTCAGCATCTTGACCGCAGATGGGCAAAAACTGTTTCTAAATCTGCTCGTACGACAGCGAAAGCTCCTACATCGTATATCGTCTCCCAGATGGAAGAAGAGTAAATAGTCCATGGGTGGGATGAGAAGTGTCTTTAATAATGCATCTTGCCCTTCGTAGGCATCGCTTAAAGTAAATGTTTGGTATTGAGGGCAATTTAGCACCAATGAGGTTTTGGGTCATTTTGACGACACGTTGGAGGGCTTTCTGGTCTGAAACAGTGCAGTTGCCATAACACACTGTGATGCAGTTTTTTAGGATGCTTTGAATTACACATAGATAAAAGTTCTGCAATAAAGGAGGGGACAGATGGGCTTTCTTTAATTTCCTAAGAAAGTAGAGGCGCTGTTGTGCCTTTTTGATGAGACCAGAAGTGTTGATGGTCCAGGTAAAATCCTCAGAAATATGAACACCCAGAAATTTAAAACTGGTCACTCGTTCCACTTGAGACCCATTAATATAAATGGGAGTGTGTGTGTGTAACCTTTCTTAGACTGCCGATAGTCCACAATCAGCTCCTTGGTTTTCTGGGTATTGATAGATAGATAGATAGATAGATAGATAGATAGATAGATAGATAGATAGATAGATAGATAGATAGATAGATAGATAGATAGATAGATAGATAGATAGATAGATAGATAGATAGATAGATAGATAGATAGATTTTGATTTTCGCAATTTTTTATGAACAAAATGTTTTAGCCTAGAAAATCAGGCAAATCATGAATGTATGTACAGTAAGTGTTGCAAAAGAGATTCCTGGCTCAGGGCATGAGAAAAAATCTTTGAGAACAAAGCCTTTAAAGATGTAGGTTCTATAAAATATATAATACACTAAAACAATGTGTATTTTCTATGTTTTCTTTCCAAAAGCTAAAAAGCCCCAAATCTCTAAATTGACAGATGTATGAAAAAACAGTGTCTCGCCTTAAAAAAAAAAAAAAAAAAAATAGCCTACCCGAAAGGAACAGTACACTTTATATTTATTTTATATTTTATATATTATATTTATTTTAACAGTGTATTTTTTTATTTTATTTTATTTTAAACATATGAACCTCATATAACAACAGATGACAGCATGAGTGAAAAGAGACAGTAAAATCAAATTTGAATAAAGTACAGTAGAGAGAGAAAAAAACAGGAAATAATTTAAATTACATATCGACGGTAGTTTAATCATGAGTTTAATTTGCATAATCCACCTTCACATGACATCAATTTCTGTTTATCACGTGACTTGACAGCGCACGCGCCGTGAAGACATACCTCCGTAAACATGATAAAGGCACATAGAGGCCGCAGCAGTGTGTCTGACAGCCGGGAAAGGAAGTGACTCCACCGCACAGTTTCTGATAGAGTGTCTGGGGCAGTCCGATCTTACACATACTGTAGACTGAATACAGACCTTTGTATTCAGACCATACTAATAATAGGACGTAAAAACGGTACACACTAAACCAAAGCGGTTTATCAGACTAATTAAAGGTATTTGACTTTTTAACGCAAATTTATGTTCAGTGTTGTTTGTTGTTGTTTGTTTTTGTTTTCTATCTCACACTCTATTGTTCTTTTGGACGCCACTTTGGGTTAATATGCTCTGTGTTTTGAATATGTCTTGTAAGATGCATTTTACAATGTGCGTTGGAAATAAATCCTTCTTTTGTTCTTAGATGACCGGACTTGCTCCATCTGGAAGAATGAGATTCATTGCAGTTGCTGTCGTACTTTGTGCTGGATATTTGTGTTCAACGGCCTTTGCCCATCCTCGGTATGTCATTCAAATACATTTAGATGTATACATTGATTTCTGTTTGAAGTTGGGGTGCATTAGCAGCTAGAAAATCAATACTATAGCCTTACTGTAAAGCCTCATGTTTGTATTTTCCAGAATGTATTGAACAAGATACATTGAGTACACAGTAAACACTAAATAAAATCTAAGACGTTTAGAAAGCAACGTTCAACTGAACTTGCAGTACTGCCCATATCAGACTGACTGTTGCCAACAGTTGAGTTTCTTATTTGTAGATGTCAACAAGACATAAAACAAAATATTAAGTAAATGTAATAAATATAGCCTATTACTGAAGTTGTTTTTATACAGGCATTACAAAGCTTGTGTAAAAACAACTTTAGTAAGAATTAGGCTAGATGTATTACATTTCACATTTTGATATCAGTTCTTATGACGCCTCAGACAGGACATCCTGTGACTTTTCACTATGAAAACAAAACACACTAACAGTTCTTGGTTAGGCTAATTAATATTGAAGATGACTTGGAGAGTCAGACCAATTCATTTATTTTTGATCAGCTAGAAGGAGCCGACTCGTATATATATCCCACTATAGTCGGAACAGTTTTTGATTTGCTAATGAACCGTCTCATTATAATCACATTTTATGTACTAAGAACTTGTTATCACTAAGGAACCATAATCTGCATAATCTATAACAAAATGCACAGCATTATGACTGGAATAATAATAAGGAAAAAAAATAATTTATTAATTTGAGAGTTCCCCCAAGAATTACAAATTATTTTATTTTTTTATGCATTATTGTTGTAGTTCTTTGTATAAAATACTACTAATAATAAATATTGTGTCACTGTGTTCAACACTGAACCATTTATAACAGTAATGAAAATTACAAAACAATATCAGGTGCATTACAGCAATACGAATTTGGTTAACGTGTTTTTGCATGACCAATTTAATGATGTATTTGTTACTGTGACCGCTTTTTACAAAATGTATGTCAGATGGTACTTTTCACACTGAAATTATGCATTGTGAATCGACTGCTTCTTTTAGGGGAGAATGGACAAAACTCATCCTGACCCAACACTGGCCACAGACATTTTGCAGTGTAATGTATTTCCTTTGCTTGGCATTATTATATTGTTGACGCGCCATCTATTGCTCCTTCTCTGGATATCAGGTGGATCAATTATGCTGTTTTTCATTTGTAGATGGAACAATGCAAAACAAATTTGAGCTATTGGACTCTGCATGGATTATGGTATGTTTATCAAGAAAAAAATGCTTCATAATGTTGTTCAAAGTCTCACAAAATATGCTTTTTTTGAGGTGCACGTGATCAGTGACTTGGTTTCTTGTTTTTATGGAAGACATACTGTATTACAAAAGAAGGTGAAAAAAAAGTGTATAGATTTGTAAAAGCAGCCATTATGATGTTTATCAGCTGTAATAAATATCTGCTTTTCGTATTGACTGAAGACACCTTTTCCTCAAACATTTAACTAACCCACAACCAAAAATTAAAATGCATTGTTTATATAACAAAAAAAAAATAAAAAAAATTCTGCATTTCACTTCTGCTCCATTTTGTGTAATATAAGCTTAATACTTGACATTGTGTACTGCAAATATTTTTATGATAAATTGATTATGATAACATTTTTATATTAGTGCAACCATGGTGTCATGTGATCTCAAAAATCATCCAGTAATGATGAATGAATGCCAGTTAGATGATTATGGTTTGTTGATTATGATTTTGATTATGGTTAGATGATTACAAGTATTTGAACAATATTTTTGTTATTACAGGCCCAACACCGGTGTACGGTGCAACACATCCTGGCATTTTAATGCCAGTTTGATTAAGGTAATTTGCCCTCTTGCCCTTTTGCATGTCATATATTTTAATTCAACGGATATGTGCATGACCTGCCGTATGTACATGTCTTGCAGGACATATTACCAGAAATGGAGAAAGTCTGGCCAGATCTGCTAATACCTTCTTCCCCAGAATTTTGGTATGTCAAAAACTTGAAAATGTAAAATACATTTAAGCATTACTGTGATTTTATTAATGAATTGATTTTTTTTTTTTTTTTTTTGTGCTTAGGAAATATGAATGGCAGAAACATGGAACATGTGCTGCAAAAGCAGAGTCTCTGAACAGTGAGCATAAATACTTTAGCAAAGCTCTTGAGCTGTACCACAAGTTTGACCTTAATAGGTGAGTTCTTGTTTTTCAGTGCTTCTTGTCACTCTGATTTTGTGGCTTTTGGTAAATTAGGATGTTGTGAGATATATAGCAGTAAATTTGGTGGATGTAAAACAAAATATATGATTATTTATACAGTAAATGATTGATAACTGACAACAAAAACAGGCATTATGTAAGACTTCAGCTAAATTAAAATACTCAATACAGTACAGCTAATATTATAATACTGATAGTTCTGGAGCCTCATTCAGAAAAAAATTCGCTTTTTTTTTTTGCTTTTTTTTTTTATATATATTTTAAAAAAAGCATATTTTTGTCAAGCCAAAGCCTATTTTGATTGGTGAGTGAGTGATGTAGAATAAAATGACCGGCCGTGCGCATGCACTCTCATATCTTCAAACAACACAAGCACTGTCTTGCGCTCTCTCCCTCGCACATATTACTCAAATCAATTGACACAATAGTAAAGGCTGGAAGATCGCAGTATATTACTATATAAGAAATATAGCTTATTAAATATAATACAGAATGCTTTGTAGGGTAAATGTGGCAAATTACAATGTTGCTCGACGCCATTAACAAATAAACCGTTGATTCATATTGTACCTAACATCACACTTTAATAACAAGTTTTTGGGGCACGTCCTGCTTTAGATTTCTATTTTACTCCTTTGTTAGCTCATTGTGTACAGCAAGTATATTAAAGCAATCCTGCCCATAATGGCTTCACAATTACAGCTACAATGGTATAAACACTACCGCTTAAAACACTTCTGCTATCTCACTGAAATGTTTGCTGCTACCATCATGCTTCCCATCCCTAGTTGACATTGATTTCCTAATGAGTCTTTTGTTTCTTTAGTGTTTTAAGGAACAACAACATTGTGCCCTCTGAGGAGCGTTACACTGTGAGTAGTTTAATTGTTCTCACTGCTGTAATTATCATTTATGAGAGACTGAACGAACTGTGGTCCTCTGTAGATGATCACATGAATATTTTACGATGACCTTTGAGTTGAGAGATGGGTATGTGAAGCCATAATCCGGAAGCTGTGGTTGTGTTGGAGTGTATTTACTGTAATGTTTAAGCTTGTTGTGGTATCAGTGATAGGAACAGAATACACTGCATGTTCTCACATGGAAATAACGATCAGGTTTAATATCTAATAAGATACCTCAAAGCATTATTCTAGACCGCAGCATGTATAATTTGCCCAGTGTACACTGCGATAGCTGCGAGATCGGCATTTCAACACACAGAGCTTGACTTCTTGCAATGTTCTATTGTGGTCATTGAACTTCTCTATTTTTGGCCTAGAGTAAACAAGAATCTTGTGATTATGGTCACATGTGAGTAAATGTGTCATATGTCCTGTTTGTTCTAGCTTGATGATGTGGAGACAGCCCTTATCAACTTCTACAAAGTGAAGCCAAAGATTCAGTGTGTCCACCCGGGAAAGGTATGAATGAAGACTATTCTATCCACCCTTCCGTCATCAGACAAGAAAAGTTGTTTTAGACTTTGATACATTATAAAACTGTATGTTAAATATTCCTGGCTCAGTCGACAGCATAGGGGCTTTCACACCAGAGGAACCTTTTCATAGTTCCTGGTCGGCGGAAGTACCAGGATTTTGGCATGTTCGCTCTGCAGGAACTAGGAACTATTTTAGTTCTTGGAACTCCTTTAGCACCTACTTCAGAGTAAAAAAAGAGCTCCTACCAGCACTATAGACCTTATGTAGCCCCGCCCCTTTTGAGCACTCCGCTTGTTGTCTTTTGCCTTCCAGTCTGAATTTTCACAGTGATCTTGCTTATTTATGAATGAACGGCTCATTTTAAAATCTTCCCGGTCTATTGCCATTTAAGACATCTGCTTTAAACATTGCAATCCTCATGATAACTTTCGGTAACTTTACATGAAGTAAATCCACTTCGAAAGCAAATTACTCCTGGACAGCAATGCCAGAGATATACAGAGCGGCCGCAAAGACAAAATTCTAAAGATGGCGGCGCCCTTCTTTCTCTGGTGCATATGTTCCATAGTAGCTACCAGTGACCTTAGTGTACACTGAATGGCCGAACGCACGTAAAACACCAGCACCGCCATTTAAAAAAAGCTATGTAAACACCAAGGTGCAATTTTTCTGGTCTCTATCTTTAATCCAACACCAAAGTCACATTTATTTATATAGCGCTTTTCACAATATAGATTGTATCAAAGCAGCTTCACAGTGAGAACAAAGTGGCCAAAAAATGTGTTTACTGCCTGGTGCAAAAAGTGGTTTTGGTCTGTATAGCTGCTGTCTGTTAGTCTCATGTCCCTTCAGCTAATCCCGCCTTTTGCCCATTTTTGTTTATCCGAGAATGACACGCTACCAAGATGGCGACGGCCAGCTCCGCCCACTTTTGGGATTCAAAAATGCTCTTCAGAAACCTATGGGTTTCTTTTTTTTCTTTTCTTTTTTTTACTGTCGGTAATCGCACAGATTTTGAGGGGACCAAGAGAAACATGATTTCTGCTCAGCTAGCAACACCACACAGTGGTGCGCTAATAACCTTTCAAATACTGTCTACTTTCTGTGTATAATAGTTTAATCTAATAACCAATGTGAGCCATTCAAGCGCTATATTCTCAGCCTCTGCCATTCTCACCACCGCCAAAATAAAGATCACTTCAGAGTTCCTACTGGCGCTGTGAATGCAACCAGGAAAATGTTCCTAAGGGAACTATTATTTCTCAGAGAATCATCCTGGTGGCTAGTTCCTCTAACTAAGTTCCTAAAACTACCCGGTGCGAAGGACTAGCATAACGGTGATTACCACAAAAATGTATTTAGACTCGTCCCTTCTTTTCAGTAAAACAGTTTAAAATCTAGGCTTCCTTGGTTTATCTAGGTAAGCCACTTCCAATGTAAGTGAATGGGTCAGTCTATAGCACAAACAATTTTAGAGTGAACACTGCACAAAGTTATAGTATATATAGATTTAAAACTTTGTTGCCATGAGAACATAAATTATGAAATTAAACTTTACGGGTCAAATAATACACGTTTCAAAAGAAAAATTATTTAGTGTTTTTTTTTTTTAATATGCTGTTGATTGAGCCTAACCAAAATATTTCTTTAAAGGAGAACTCTGGCGAACAATGAACATTTGGTCTAATAAAACATCGGTACCTAGTCAATCGTTCTCTGAGATTTGTTTTCATGATAATCGAATGTAAAGAGTTTTATCTCTAAAAACTGTTTAGCGTATAATGCTAGCAATGGGGGCATTGACTAAGAAAAAAAAATCGCTAGTTTATACCACTAACAAGGCTCAAAATAGCCCCACACTAACACAGCAACATAATAAGGCTCCATACATGCAAAACGAAGCATTGAGAACTTTGTAAGTGTACGGACCGTTTAATAAGAAGATACTTTATGAAGACAGTCCACTTCGCGTATACAGACAGAAGCCATCTTAGGAAATAGTCTCGATAAGGGCCGGTTCACATATTGCGTCTTTTGCGCGCTCAAGTTCGTTATTTCAAATGTAGGCGCGCGGTATGCGCGCTCATAATGGAAGCGATGCGGTCGCGGTGCGACGCGCTCGTTTTTTCCATGCGCATCCGCGCCGCGTCGAGATAAAAACATCTCAACTTTTCAGAATACCGCAAGCGCACCATACGCACACAATAGGTCATGTGACAAGAACCAACTGAAGTGCAACCGCCCTGGTGCTTTGGAAAATGGAGAATGCGGCGCGCCCAGCGTTCTCTACGCGTTTTTAGGAACTATATGTGAATCCGGCCTAAGTCGATCCCCGAACGCCGTTCATACAGTTCAGAAGTTCGTTGAACTTCATACAGTTCAGCTCACTCAGCACGACGTTCGTGGTTTGACTTATCGAGACTATTTCCTAAGATGGCTTCTGTCTGTATACGCGAAGTGAACTGTCTTCATAAAGTATCTTCTTATTAAACTGTCTGTACACTTACAAAGTTCTCAATGCTTCGTTTTGCATGTATGGAGCCTCATTATGTTACTGTGTTAGTGTGGGGCTATTTTGAGCCTTGTTAGTGGTATAAACTAGCGATTTCTTCTTACTTAGTCAATGCCCCCATTACTAGTGTTCTACGCCAAACAGTTTTTAGAGATAAAACTCTTTACATTCGATTATCATGAAAACAAATCTCAGAGAATGATTGACTAGGTACCGATGTTTTATTAGACCAAAGGTTCATTGTTCGCCGGAGTTCTCCTTTAAGAAAGTGAATGTAGCCCATTTTGATTTCCTCTTCTGCTCTGGGCAACAGTTAAATTCACCTGGACCACAATTTGCCATCAGTTTTGTTGGTGTGAGATCTAATTTCTTACTGTATTTCTCAGGGGGGCCAGTTTCAGACTTTGGGCCAAATAGAGATCTGTGTTGACAGAGATTTCCAGCTGATCAATTGTGAAAAGTCAACCAAAGAAATCTGGAGCAATGACATAGTTGCCAGTGGCAAATCAGACCTCAGTGTGTGTGATCACTCCATGCCGATCTATTACCCTCCAGTGCCGAGCAGATCGTAGAGCTGGGAGTGTGGAATCATTGAGAAAGAGACGAGAATTCAAGAATTCATTTGTGAGTTCCTGTCTAGCATTTGAAACACTGGAAACCATTGAAATGTTTTTTATTTACACTATCTTTTTAATTAATTGCACATTAATCCTTTATTTTAAATGTTGATGCTGGATTAGAGAACATTTAAGGGTGTCAAAATCACAGACTGCATGCTGTATTCTATGATTGCTGGGTCCATATTTACAATTTACTGGTTTTACACAGTTTGCTCAGCCAAACTGTTGTCATGTTTATTTTTAGGTGAATATCACAAAAATATATCAAGAAAAGAACAATTATAAATGAAGCATGTTAAAAAAAAATAAAGGTTTCTTTTGGCATTCTAACATTATTTTCATGACAATTAGACACGAATGATTTTCATTATATTCTCATCACATAACTAGATATTATTATAATATTAAGAAAAATTTACTAAAATGATTCATTTTAAATCAGCATAAAGGCAATGCAACAAATACCATAGTGATATAAATTACTTGACAATATAGATAATATATTACTGTTATTTTCAAAATAAGAATCAAATTTGATCCTAAAAGGAAGTATATATTCTATATTTTCTTAAACATAATGTCTGTTTTTTTTGTTTTTTGTTTTTGACAGGTTTTGTGATATTCACCCCTGGTTTTATTACGAAAATATTTAATAAAATATAATAAATATTTATTAAATATTTTTAAAATGTTTTGTTGAAATATGCTCTGTGTTATCTGTAATGTTCTTCCCACTATATTTTTAATCTGATATTAGCTTTGCTTAGCATTAAAAGAGGACATTTAGCTCTAAATTTGCAAAGTTAATGTATAAAATTTGTGCTAGTTTGGAGCTTTGTTGCCTAATGGCAGCATGAAGTAAGTCTAAGCTCCTGCCTCTGGAGGGCAGCACATGCATTCTGGCAAAGAAAAAATAAAGCACATTGATGTTGTTTACATATGTTGTTCACATGTAAGGAACAACATTTTATGAATGGGAGATGGCATTTAATTACAGTTACCATTTGCACAAAATGTTCAAGTAAATAAACAGTGTATTTTTAACTTAATTATTACAATAAATTTTGTCAGATACTGCTTTTATCCTTCTGATGTTTACTTATCAAAAGAGCCATATCACATATGGGCATTTTTGATACGTTGCTTGGTTGGCAACACGGCATGTACAAAATATATCTGATCGTTCCTAGTTTGATTTTATACTGTTGATACATTTATACTGCTGGTGAAAATCTTTTTACAGGTTTGTTACTTTTACATTATGTAATACATGCCTTATTCACATAAACATGTCAGTAATTGAAGCATTTTGTAATGCAGTGTCAAATAAATTAATGTCCCTGCTGAACTGCCTTCATGTGACATTACTTACAGGCCAATTCATGGTGTCTAATGATTCAGTTTGTCTCACTGCTGTGTCCTTGTCTTGGTGTTAAAAGTCTACAATATTTATATTGTTGTTTCTAAGGCCATTTTGGTGGTTTTGGCGGCCGTGCCCAGTGCATTAGGGAATGTGATGAGAAAGACTTCTTCAATAACCTGTGCATATCTCCTCATATCCTTCTAACTTGTTTGATTGTTAGATGTTCGCTAATGATTTTCTCTCAGTTGGTGTACGTAGCCTGATGATTCTACAATACACTAACTATTTTCCTACATGAAGGAGCAAAGGTAAAAGAGGAAATATTTTTGACAGGACTGCAAATTGAAGAATACACGTGGAAAATGTGATTTAAAAGGTTTAAAATATAAAAGCCGTTAACATAAACCCTTCCAATCAGCCTGACACCAATCATGACGATATGTGTGGCTCTGTAGTTTATTTGCACAGATCCGTGGTGCAGAGAATTAAACCAAACTCTGTCATTTATTTGTCACATTATTTTGTGTTACACAGATGGTTAAAAAATCGAATGAGCTGCCTATGAAAAATGAGCCGCCGATTTAAACCATCGCAGGCACTTTTTTTTTTGGAGAACTTCTTATGAAGCATTGCATGTATTTTTACATAGAAGACAATATCATGATACATTGTGACAAGTTCATTGAAATAAATCCATAGTTGAACTTAGAATTGGAACTTAGAACTTTGGAAGGAATTGGAATGTTTTTTTGTTTTGTTTTTTTCAAGCTGGTGCCAAACTGTATTGATATGTATTGAAGTGTGAGGGTAGTCTCCCATGTGCTTTATGTGGAGTACTGTCTGATTTGCCTATGTTTCAAATGAGCTCCATTAGTTTCTGGATATTGTCAACATAGGCTATAGAAACCAAGACCACTCACTAGAATCCCTTTTTTTTTTCTCATCAAAGATCCACAATAGGGGGAGAAACATCAGGAAATAGGGAAAATAGAGTATGGGGGTAAAAAATCGAATCGCCATACTTTTCCAGTTGATTGATTACATTAAGAATGGCAAAAACAAATTATATATGAATAAATCCCTATGTAAAAACCTTTGGAATGTAGATATGAATAAAACTATAAAGTTTGGTGTATGTAAGTGCTTCTGAAGTTGAGATTTCTGGGAGCAGGAGAAAAAAACAAAAAAAACCTCATAGGCGGGTGACGTCACAGACCAGAGCTATAAAGCATACCCGAAAACAGACCGCGCTAGCTTCTGATGGGCTGAAGCAAGTCACAGGGAGGGAGCATGGTAAGGTGACGCAGCGTCTCCTTTTAAGGGAATTCGAGCTACGACGCCATAACAACCAATGGGTGAAGGAAGGCTTTAACCATACCAGGTGCAAATTCCAGGCACGAAGGAGCAAACGACAGAACTTGCAAATCTCCAATTCTCTTTATGTAAGAAATAGCAAGGAGAAATAAGAATTTTTTGGAAACCTCTTCAATAGGATCGTATGGAGCTAAAGTCAAGCCTTCCAGTACAATGACCTTATCCCATGCTGGCACCCTAGTGCACAGTGCAGGTCTCAGCCTCAGAGTGCCACGGAAAAACGAGTAATAAGAGGATCTCATGCCAAAGATGCACCAACCAAAGGAGAATGCTAAGCAGAAATAGCTGCCATGGACTCCTTTAAGATGTAATCTAGCAGAGAAACGTTCTTGCAAAAAATCGAGAACTGAACAACCAGGCCAGTTGACAGGATTCAATTGATGTTCTCTACACCAAGAAGAGAAAAGTCTCCTCTTCAGTGCATACAGTCTTCTGGTGGGAGGGGCTCTGGACTGGAGACCAGATTCTATTAGCTGGACCCCCCTCAGGAGCCAAGCCCACAGCTTCCATAACTCCAGTCGAGGGTGATAAATCGTGCCCCCTTCTTGGGACAATAGGTCCCGACTGATCGGAATCTCCATCAGAGAGCCTTCTAGAAGGGACACCAGGTCTGAGAACCAGACTCAGGCCGGCCAGAACGGGCCTACTACCAAAAGATGGGCCCCGTCCCGGCGAACCCTCTCCAGAACCTCCAGGAGCAAAGATATCGGGGAAATGCGCAGAGGTATAGCCTCGGCCATTCCTGAACCATCACACCCAAATGCAGTGGGGCTGGATGCCTGAGGGAGAACCACATGGGACAGTGAGTTGTCTCTGAAGATGCACAAATAAATAATAGATCGACTTGTGCTTGACCGAATTTCTCCCATAGGTGCTTCACCACCTCGCGGTGATGTCTTCATTCCGGTCTCGACAGGATATCCACTACCTGGTTTTTGTGCCCCAGAATATATACTGCCCTGAGAGACAGTAATTTTCCCTGGGCCCATAGTAGAATCTGATGGGCCAGCTTGCATAAGTGACTCAAATGAGCCAAAAGCATCCAAAAGCGGACCAAACGAGTGTAGGAGGTCTCGGTACGCTTTCAAACAAACTCTGGAGCGGTTCCTTTGTGGTGACAACTTCACATTTTTGGACTAAGCCAGCTGCCGTAGTCAAACAAAATGATTATTTAGATTGTCAATAGCTATCCCTTTAAACCATGACTGACTTACTGTGTTCTGCACTTTCACTCTTATCATAAACACT